CAATGGGAACCTGGAAAATGGGTAAGAGGTTCCTGGCAGACTTTCAAGCAATGGTACAATTGGGATCAGAGGAATTTTGTCATACCCTGAACAGCGTACCTTTTCCCATGCCAGATGTGCATGGCAGGAGGCATGATGTTTGGAAATAGAGAATGAAACTCCTTCCAATCCTGCCACTGCTGAGCTGCGCCAAGTCCAATCCTGAAGATCAGCTGATGGGTGGCTCTATCCCATCCCAGCCCCCTCCCAATGTTCCAGATCTGGGACTGTTGAGCTAGGTCCTACAAGCTTATGGTTGGCCCAGACCCGAGACAGCTCAATTGCACGTGTGGCTTTCAGAATCTCCAGGGCACTGGGACCCCTGGACTGAGGAGCATCTCTCACAGCTTGGGCATCCCCTGCCCCAGGATGTCTAAAAAGCACAAATTCAGTGCAGCTCCCTGGAACCTGGCATTTTTAAATGCCTTGCCCTGCAGCCCTCATTTTTTGTGGAATGACTTTGTGTCTGGTTTGCCACTGCAGTGACCTAAAATGGCTGAACATGCAGTACTGTTATTATGTATGATGTGATGAACACATGAATTGTGTCATACCTGTAACGTGCCAGGAGCCATACTCTCTGTTCCTCTAGGCTACGAATTCAAGCCTGAAGCTGTCTGTGATCCTTTCTGGATCAAACTAACCATCACTTACTTCATACCTGCAGGTTTGACCCAGCTATTGACAATGTATGGGAGGATTTATGCTTGTGTGAAGCCTCCCTGGCATAAATTAGGTTCTGCATATGTGTTACCTACTGTAGGACAAGGGGCATGATCGATGATACTTAAGCATTCGTGGTAGCCGGCAGTGGAGCAGGCCAGCTTAATCGCTGCCCCCGTTCCTGTTTGACATTACTAGGGCTCAGTTGCCCCTGGCTGATCCTTAATCCTGCAGCTGTCTGTGTGCAGAACCTGTGTGGGTCACAGTCGGTCATTCTGACTTACATCCTATGGGTTCCTACTGGAAAATATGGCTTTTCCTTTAATCTCACCTTTCCTTTAATGCACGCTTTTCTTGGCTGGCCATAGTACTGAGAGTATTTAGTAGGGCTGTGCGAAGCTTCAGTAGCCGATTTGATTTGGAGGAGATTTGACCTGAGACGACGACTGAAATTCTGAATCTAAATCGAATCAGGAGACCAATTAAAAGCTCTGAATCAAATCGGAAGCCTCCAAATTGATTTGGAAAAGAATTGGCCAATTCAGCCACAGACTAAACAGGCAGCAGTCCTCACCACACTGGACACAGCTGCCTCCAGGTGGTAAGTCTGTTGTGATGGGCAGATGGGGAAGGGAAGGGGCATGGGGGAAGGAGGGATTGGGGCTGGGGCAAGCTGCGCCCGGGGCAGGGGGTGCAGGACTCAGGGAGGGGGAGTGTAGGATGCAGGAGCAGCAGCGCTCTGAGCGGGGTCTCTGTCCTGCTGCTGCTTGCCCAGCTGGGGTGCGTGTGGTGGGGAAAACGTGGCTCGCTCTGGGAGGAAGGGGGCAAGCAGCAGCAGGGCATATCCCCAGCTCTCAGTGCTGCCGCACCTCCATCCTGTGCCCCCCTGCACCGGCTGGGCAAGCAGCGGCAGTGCCTGCCTCTCCACACTGCTTGGGCAAGCAGGGGCAGTGCCCCCCCCCCGCCCCGGCTGGGAGCAGGGGCTCTGCCCTGCTGCTGCTTGCCCAGCCAGGGCTGGGGGGACAGGGGGGTGGGATGTGGGCGTGGCAGCACTAGGAGTCGGCGCTATTCCCTGCTACCGCTTGCCCATTTCTGCCTGGAGTGAGCTGTCCTGTCCCCACCCCTGACCCTGGCTGGGCAAGCAGCAGCAGGGCATAGCCCCTGCTCCAAGCGCTGCTGTGCCCACATCCCCTGCCCCGCTTCCCGAGTCACCCTGGCTGGGCAGCTTGTCCTAGCCCCAGCCCCAATCCCTCCTTCCCCACTCCCCTTCCCTCCCCCTTCCACCCATTACAACAGACTTACCAGCTAGAGGCAGCTGTGTCCAGCGTCGAGGACTGCTGCCTGTTTAGTCTATGGCTGAATCTCCGAAGTGGTGCCGAATCTTCAGATCTGATTCATCGGATTGAATTGGGACAGCGATTCGAATCTCCAAATCAAATCACTGTCCCTCCGAATCGGCTGACTCTGAAGTGAATGCTAGCCACTTTGCACAGGCCTAGTGTTTAGGTGAAAGCAGCCTGGGGGGGTATCCAGAGACTAGGCACAGGACAGCACACCAATCAGGGTGCTTCTGAAGATGCACCAAAGAGCTGTGTTTTCTGGCCTTGTACTCCCAGCTGCTCTCCTTCCATTTCAAACAGATAAGGAGAACTCTGAAAGACCTATTTGTTTTCCAAAGTCAAGTGTCCATCTCCCCTTGGTTTTGGACTGCAACAGCAGTCTTCTCCCACCCCCTCTCCCATCTTTCTCTCCTTCCATCCGTTTCGTCTTTGTTAGAAGAAGAGTGAATAAGGCTGGAAGAATGTTTCCTTCTTCGTCTCTACTGTTCTCCCCTCCCCATAAGTCCAAAACGGCTATTACTTCATTACTGTGACCCACTCAGCAAAGGCACAAAACAGATTTTCACTGTCCTAGAACTGAAATTTTTAAATATCTGCAATAGTACACATACACACATGCATGCACGCACGTATGCAGTTAAGTGACAGAATCCCAAGTTTCTTCCTCTTTTGAGCACAGCCAGTGCAAAAATATTTGTACATTACTCAGAAGTTTACTGTTAGATCTACAAACGACAGTAGAGCAATCATTTATCTGTTTAACCATTAATATCTGTAACTGTCACATGAGAGTAGAATCTGGCAATGAGTTGTCAGCAGCTGTAGCTTTGGCTTTTAACTAACAGCAGCGAATGGTAAATGGTTTGACGCCTATATAAATACTTTTTCCTGAGGGATACTTGCATTTTTCCAATCTGTCAAAACTGCTGCACATCTGTTATTCGAAAGTTCACAAAGTTTTGTATCAAAGCACAGCCTAGTTTCATGGGTGAACAAAATGTTTCTTTTATATGGGTACAGCACATCTCTATAGGGGACATGAAAAAGTGAAGCTTGTTTCTCAGTAGACCTGTGGGAACATTTTTTAAATGACATGTTCTGGTTTCCATCAGAATGATAAAACAAAAAAAGCTTTCATTAATGTAAAAAAAAAAAAAAAAAAAAAAAAAAAAAAAAAATTAAAAAAAC